AAAAAGCCTCACCCCCCTCCCCCCCCCCCCCCCCGCCCCATCGGAATGATATCTTTTAATTAACTTCTGTTTCCTGAAGGGCTCTTCCCTTCTTCTGTGAACCCAAGCAAAGCTATAAAACTTTTATTTTTGTTTGAGGAGTAAAGTTTACACAGTGAAAGTAAAGTCTATAGCGGTAGTCCTGCAATATTTCTGTTGATCTGAGCATGCCCACCAGACACTTCTGACATACTGTTCCATTTTAGGCCTCAGCTGGATGAACCAATCCCATTGTATGAAGCCAAAGTTTCTATGGAAATAGTTCAGAAGAATCAAGCAAGAAAAAGACAAGTCATCCAGTTCTGACACACAATTTCCTGATTTCTAAGCCTGTGGAAGATAAAGAAACGTAATGTATTTGAGAAGTAAATCCGTGTACACTTTCAAATAATTCTGTAACCAGAATTTAAAGATCTTCTGTACCTCAGCACAAATGGTCTGTGAAGCTTCTGTGACTTCAGGGGATTTTTTGGATCCACTTGAGCAGAATGTTCCCATCAGCAACTGCCTTCTAAAGAGGCAGTCTTGACATACAAATCTTGTCTGCCCTGCCCCAATTACAAATGTCAGTAATATCTACAGGCAAAGTCAGTTGCTGTTGTTTTTCAACCATAAGAAATTAAAGGAAAAAAAAAATGGTGTTTTTTATTAGTCCTCCCTTCTCTAGCCCCTACCAATAGTCACCTTTATATTTACCTTTTGACTGCATTGAGACTGAGCGCTCTCTGTGGTACTCTTAGCATCTTTAATCCACATTTAGAATTGTTATTTAATTGAAAGGCAGGCAAAAACATCAGAATTGGGGAGGATGCTAGAGGGGAAGGTTATGGTACTGATGGTAGGAGTTACCCCCACAGCTGATTTTCTTCGTTTTAGCAACCAGGCAGTAAACCTAGTAAATCTAGAGTCCATAAGCTGACATGATCGTGCCATTCAGATGTTTAAGGCAGTTTATGTATCTTGTTACTGTAATGTTGTCTTTGATGTCTTTCCAGAAAGCCCACAGCCTAGGAAGGTCTTGCACTTCCCCTCTTTTAACGCCAGTCCTATGCCTACCACAGCTCAAATCTGTTTATCCAACATTCTCTGTTACCATGAACCATCTGCAAATCAGCAGTAGGGAAGGAACTGCTGTTTTCCTTTCTTCAAAGCATGTGGCTTCCTACTTGCTCTTATTTCAGAGCAAAAATATTTTTTCTGTTAAACTGTGCTATTCATTTTCACCGTGTGGATGGCTCAAACAGTGGACAATGAGCACTTTAAACCAGTGTAAGAAATTGAAACATTTGAGTGAAAATAGATTATCTAGAACCATGCTTAATCTGTCATTCACTGGACTTGTAGCAGGTTCTTGATAAATGATGCACGAGAAGCATATAAAAGCATGAGTAAATCTTATTCTACTACTAATGTGATGTAATGCAGCATTGAAAATAAGCGGTCCTTTTATGCACATGTGTACACACACATGTCTAAAGCATGTGAATCCTCTGTTAGTTTGACATTTGTTCTGAAGCTTTGTACCCAACTGCTTATTTTTTCCTGATGTTGTTCATTTTAGCATAAATGTTTGCAAAATAAAGAAATCGGAGAAAACAAGTTAAAAAATAAGGTTTATTAGAACAGGAACAACCACTGACAAAACTGCAGCAAAAAGATTTTTATACTATAGTTTTTGGTTTATTAGAACTTTTTTATAGTAGATAGGTTGCTCCTAACTACATGTATAAATGCCTTTTGAACCCCATGTCTAATAGGCTAGCTATTGCTGAAGTGGTCTTAGTCTTTCACCTCAATCAGGTTATGAAGCAAATGGCTCTTTGTACTTTGGGTGTTAAGCTGCCTGTTGGCGCATTTAGCTGGCTGAGATGCCTCAGCATTTTCTAATGCTCTTTAGTAATGCTAGCTTCAGATTTGCATGTGCTTGAACAAGAGGGCTCATGAGGCTCCTTAAGCAATTGTTCCTCTTTCGCACATCCCCTGACAGAAGAAAGCAGAAAGTAGTTTTGAGTGTGAGAGCAAGGCTCCCCAGCTCTGGGGGGAATGGCTGCCAGGTGCTTGCCTGTTCCTTCGTGCCTTTGACGAGAAAGTTGTACGTGCTTCACTGATCTGTACGTTGATCCGAGGGCCCCATGAAGGCTGCCCGGGGTCTCCTGTAGCACTGTAATGGTGAGAGCCATGCCAGGTGCTGTGCCAGGGTTTGCTGAGGATGCTTCTGCTCTGGTGAGCTCAAGCCCCCCCGGTCAGATGAGGTGTGGATGATGCACAGATTGCCCGTAAGGGCAGCCACAGGTCTTGAAAACCAGCTTTGTGTCTGGATTAGTTTTATAATCCGTCATTGTTTCATTTAATGGCCTTCAGAGCTGTATTTTGGAAAGGATCATCTGCCTAGCATAGGCTGAAAACTACCACCCATTTTGTGGTGGTGAGGGGAGGCGTGCCTTTCTGCAGTATGTTCTGAAGTGAAATACCCCAGCGTGGGCCTTAGCCAGCACCGTGAATCGCGATCAAAACCAGTTTTCTACCCCAAATAGTCCCACATGTCACACCGCTGGAACCATGTTCTTGTATCTTCACAGGTGATTTTTGTCCTGGTGGCGATTTCCTTGATACCTGACTGGAGAAATCCAGGCTGGTTGCGGAATGGATTCAGAAATCCATTTACGTTTTTTTAGCAGTAACGCTTTTTTTTATTTACTAGCCGAAGCAGGGGCCGGAGCGGTGACAGG